CTTCGATCCCTCGGTGTCTCAACCTTCTCCTATCGGCCATTAGTAATATGCAGGGTCGTGGGGACTGGAGTTTAAACTGCCCTAGATGCAAGTCGAGGACACTCGGCCCTCACATGACCTGTCTGGTTGCGATTGAAGTAAAGCCGAAATCCCTTGGGGAAATCCTTAGCCAAATGCCCCTACTTTCCACACAATAGCAATCCGTCCCTGATCAACAGGTTCCCTCATGCCCCTTGCCGCACTTACCGCAAGTGCGGCCCTTCTGGCCTTCAGATCTTGATTCAGGGGGCTTAGACCGCTTAGTCGACCGCTGCGACTGCACTAGCCTCCTATCTCTCACCTGGATCTCCCTCTCCTCTCTAGCCTAGGTCTCCAACTCAACCTCTCTCCTCCGGGCATTGGTCTGCAGCTCAGCCAATGTTCGATACTAAGTGTTCGCCACAAACTCACATATATCCCTCCTTAGAATACTCAGATACCTACTCACACATTCCTCCTCAGTAGAGACGTGCTCAGAACAAAACAAGGCCCTCTCATGAAACATCCTGATCAGCTCAGTCACCATCTCTATCTTCTGCTTGAGAGACAGGAACTCTTGGGCCAACCTCTCCCTCTCAACCACAGGTACAAACTTATCTTTGAACATCTCAGTAAATCTCTCCCAGATCACCACATAATGCTCTGCAAGAGAATAATTAGCTACCACAAACTTCCACCAGTCCTTCGCTCCCAAGCGAAGCAGGTTTAACGCAAAATGAACCCTCAAATTCTCCGGACAGGAGCAAGTGTAAAAACAGCCCTCGATGTCAGAAATCCGTCTAATCGCAGCAATCAGATCTTGGGTCCCATCAAACTTGGGTGGCTTCATGTTGGTGAACTCCCGGTACCACAACGAATCACCCCTGCAGTGTAGCAGCCACAACAACTGTGGTGGCTGTGGTAGCAGTAGCCTCAGTGACGAAGACATATCGCTCGTCAAAAGTCTCAAGCAGCATGGTCTTGATAGACCCAAACATCTCTGGTATAACCCCTCTCATCGTTGCGGCCACCTCGGTGGAAACAATCCTACAGATCTCATCATCACTGGCACTCGGCCTCTCGGGGTCACTAGAGCCTGAACCTCGGGTAACCACCATACAGAACACACAAGAAAACCATCAGAATCAGGCTAAAGTGCATACACAAACATCCACACACTCCTACCAGTTCCTTAGTTCATTAAGATTCCTTCTCGAGCCGCGTACGGATCCAGTGCTTTCAGTATTACGAGACCAATACTATCTTCAATACCAACCTGTATTTGTCTCAAGTCGTCCTCTCAAGGCCCTAAGTCACACGGACTCTATTTCTCAAGATCAGCTATACACTCGCCCTGTTGGTTCCTCGGAACCACTACTACGCGTCTAGATACTCATTCTAGACTGCTCCCCAGCACTGCTCCGCCTCACAAGATCTCCGCTGTCCTCTCCATTTGCTTTGCGCATGCGAATCGTACACAATTCGAGACTCGATAGACATTTGAATAAATGATTCTACCTCAAATCCACAACCAAACAAGGAACAGGAAGAAAAGCTAAATCAGGCATTCTAAGGCTATAAAATCGTGACTATGTATAATTATACAACATACACCAAGCAAATAGCAATGACAGATTCAATCTCATAAGAACAAAGTCCTAGGCTAAAGGCATCACAATTCAGGAAACACTATCATCCCATTCCTGCAGGATCCTTAGCCTACAACTAACTAGCATGCAGTTCTACCAGCTCTACATTACTCATATAATAAACTGAGGCATTTTGGGAAACTACCGCTCGAACTCTAGTTGATTGTACACACTACTTCACTGGGTTTTTCTTCTGTAAAAATCTTAATTTCTTTCAAAAGTTTTTATAAAATTCTTCAAATCCTTAGTTTAAGTTTGGAATTACCCTAGAGTTCATCCAAATCCCTCAAACCAGGTTTCTGATACCAAATTGTAATACCTCAAATTTCAAACCAAAATTTTCATTTTTAAATTACCCAAAATATTGTTCATAAGTCAAGTAATTGGAAAAACATAAGTGTCAGATACGGTTTATGTTTAAAAAGTCAAAAGATCTCATTTTCACTCCAACTTAAAAAAATCATAATTCGAATTCAAACAATTTTAGATCTTAATAAATAAAAATGCCCTTGTCATTACTGTTGAAGACGAAGGCCAACAACGACGTTCCAAATCAGGAAACCATGAACATCCAACATGTTCTCCACCGATTTCATTTTCAACAGGTTTTTATTTCTTGAAACCTTAACTCCGATGGGCTCGTATTCAGAAGTAAGTATTCATCTCATTTTCAGGAGGTTTGTACATCTAGAGATTTAGGTTTTCTATGAAACCTAATCCATTTTATTTTCTTATCATTTTTAAGAGGTTTGCATATATGGAAAAAGCAAGCTTTCTGAGTTGTTGTTTGTAGATATCAAAAAACCAAGGGTTACATTTTCGATTTCATTTCTAGATCTGGATAAATCGAGTTTGCTAGCTCATGATTCTAGGGTTTTCGATTTTGTAGATCTAAAAAACAAGTGTTATTGTTCTTGAGATCTGGAAAAATCGAATTTGTTCATTCATGCTAGGTATGGTTTCTATCTCTCGAGCTAAGATCATTCATGGCAAATTAGAGTTTTCATACTTTCCAACTTCGATTAGGGTCTTTAAACTTCATTTATCCATAACATATATCGAATTTCCGGTAGTGTTGGAACATATATCATGAAGATGGTAGTGGTCCGGCGAAAATGGTGGTTTGTAGGCCGTACGTGGTGGTCCGACAACAATAGAGAGAGAGAGAGAGAGAGGAGGTGGGATAAATGTTTCTATTTTGTTTTTTCTTTGCTATAATAAAAGTAAATTAAAAAATAAATTAAAAATGGAAAATCCGTCATTTTAAGATTTTTCAAAAATTTCGGGACCAAACCGCAATAAACTTTTTTTTAACCAGTGATGCTAGTGTAAATTGTCTTAGACCTAAATAGCAATTTTCAAAAAATCAAATGGATTATTTTTACAATTTTGTAAGTATTATTTTAATCTTTTTTTTGTAAAATCTTTATTAATTTAAGACTTCATCTTGGCAACATCAAATTCATATTTGCTGTAAAACTGTCATTGAAGATCTAGAAAAAAAAAATTAAAAAACAAAACTTCAAAATACATGTTTCTTAATAAAATATCATGGTTTAAATAATACATATGAAGATTTTCGCAACATGCAGAGTGAATTTTGCGGTATCTTTTCTTTGTTTCGCAATGAACAATGATTTTTACTGTATAATTCTTTTTAGTATATATTTTTTTGAAATATATCATATCGATGTTGTTTAATTGGTTTGGCAGTGGTAAAAACATAATCTCAAGAAAAAAGACAATTGTTTTGTAAAGTGGTGAGATAATGATCTATAAAGTTGGATGATGGATGAGACTAGAATATTAGTGTCGTCTTACAGAAAGAAAACCAAAGTTTGTTATGGATCTAAGAACCTGTAACACCTCAAATTTCAAACCAAAATTTCCAATTTTAAATTACCCAAAATATTTTTCATAAGTCAAGTCATTAGAAAAACATAAGTGTCAAATACAAATTATCATCACAAAATATCAGAGTGCCATAAAATGCCCAGTAACAAATCTCCCAACGAGTGTGTACAATCAGACCTTCACCTTCCCGCGATCCTCAGAAGTACCTGAAACACATATAATCAACAGCGGTAAGCACGAAGCTTAGTGAGTTTCCCAAGATAACACATACAACACAACATAAACAAACAATTATGGGTTATCAGCAACCCTGGGGACAATCAGCAGTCCCAGTGGGCAAACAGTACGTCCTGTGGGTTATCAGCAACCCTGGAGACTATCCGCAGTCACAATCACACATAATCAGCATAAGATAATAATAAAAGTTAGACCCAATAATTAACCCTAATTAATAATTAAGGTCCATAACTCAACTCACAAGTCCAAATTCCACAACTATGCCCCTTTAGGGCAAAAATACCATTTTACCCCTCCTATGGTCCAAAACCCTAAACCTTGACCAAAGGTCAAAAATCAACAAAAAGCTCAACTGCCCAATGCGTACGCTGAGCGTACACTCCTCCTACGCGGGTCGTAGTCGAAAAATCAGGCGGGTCGGGGTTACGCCTGGGTACGCTGGGTGTAGCCAGAAGTACATGGGGCGTTCGCCGTCTGATTCCATAATTACTCCATAAAAGTCTTAATCGTTAAGACATGCAATCCAAATGTAGATCTGGCCTCCATAGAACGTCTTAATCCATAAAGTCCATATTTACCACCTCTAAACACTTGCATGGCTGGAAAGGGACCATCAAGAAACAATTTTTATGAATCTACAAGACCTAAAACACATAAAAGGACAACTAATATGTTATGGAGTACTCCATACTCACAAAGGTCCAAGCTTTGGGACAAAAAGCTCATAAAAACTCATCTATGGAGATCTAGAAAGAAACACATCAAGGTATAAACTTTACACCTTCAAAAGATGCACAAAGTGAGGTAGTTTCTGGATCCACAAGCTTAAAAGCAACACCACCTTCTTCAATGGTCTTCTTCTTCAGCAAAAGAGCACCAAAATCACTAACAAGCTTCAAAATCTTCACACACAAGGCTTAGGCTCGAGATTAGGGTTTGTAAGGAGTGGAGGCTGGTAGGTAATGTACAAGGGAGGCCTAAAGTAGATTAGATAGGTGCATTCCCTTAAATCTAGGGTTCTAGGAGTTGAGATAACATGCCCCGCGTACCAGATGTACGCCCCCGCGTACTAGCATGCATCTCGTGATTCCAAGTCTCCCATTAGTACGTTGCGTGTACCATCATGTACGCCCATCATACGGGCTGAGGTTGAAAATTTTAAACTACAAGGGGCCAAATGTGTAAACTTTAATTAGACTAAGGGCTAAAAATGGAAGTACCTGAAAATCGTATGTTACAAAACTAAGGTGGGAGAACGCATATCAACACTTTTATCAACAATTTGAACAACATCCTTAGGGCAAAATACAAAGTTCCATTCGGGCATGTAAATGTGCTAGTTCGATCATCCATGGGGTAGCTATAAGCATCATGGCATCGAATCTTGAAAACTCTAGAATAATTTGTTGGCCTACAATTACCTGCACCTGAGGTACAATAATATCCATCAGTCTTGAACATGGTGCAAGGGCTATTGCACCCACCAAGAGCTTGTAACTCATTAGGGCACTCCCAATTGATGTCCCCAATACATGTGACACCCCTGGGTGCACCCATCGGAATTAGGGCGAGAGAGAGAGAGAGATAGATAGATAGATAGATAGAGAGAAAAAAGGGAGAGGTTTAATGCATAACTGTTAATGTATCCCTCAGGGAAAACGTCAAAAGGAGAAATCAAACTAACGCGAAGCTTGGCCTGGCTAGAATCTGGTCGTATCGAGTCTGAGGCCAAGGCCGAGCCTTCGCCAACGCGGGGTCACTGGTATGGCGATTAAGGGGAATAACCGCGCCTTACCCTCTTCTCCTGTAAATAACAACTCGGAAAACGTGGGACCAATCAGAGAGTTCCACTTGCCCATCTAACGACAGCCACGATCATCATAATATTAAAGATTCCCCTCTAGCCAATGAGGTGACGAGGCAAAAAGGCGTGATGGAGGATCCTTCAATACGGATCCTCCACGTCACATCTCACGAGGGACAGCTCAAAACAATTAGTTAGGAGGCACACGCCTCTCAATCAAGTATAAAAGGACCCTTCTTCCTCATGAAGAGGGGGACGAAATTCTTTTTCCTCAGATTTACCCTTTCTTCTCTCAGAATCCATTCTAACTTGATCGTCAGAGCTTCGTCCTGGGAATCCCTCCCATACGTCGACTAACGATCATCTTTCTCTTTTGTACTGTGATATCAGGAGAAGGATCCAGAACGACTCTTGCCCTCGATCTCAATTCAACCATCTCCGACATATCACAACATTTGCTGCCATCCTGATGTATCTCCAGAACGATACATCCATGAAGCACAACCAAAGAGCAAAAATGGCAGGCGAAATTCCGACGACGTCAAGAGCACCGGAAACGAGCCCAGTACGTCCAATGCAACCATTATACGAAGAGAAAGTTCCCACCCAGGAAGAACACGCTTCAAATCTCACGCCAGTCTCACAGACACCATCTAGCTCTGCAGCTGAAATGACGATAACCTACATAGCCAGGCTATGGCGCCCAACAGCTAACCCACCTCCACAAGTAGCAATCGTAACTACAACTCCACAGATTGTCGCAACACAATAAATAGAGATACCTATTTCGCAGCAACAATCATTTCCACACATTTCGGGCACCGAAACTTGGTTCCCCCACAATATTCAACCGCAGTCGCAATATCCATCGATGGTATACCCACACGCCACCATGGCGGGCTTGCCCTACGTGCCGCTATTTGTACAATAACCACCGATCTTCAACCCATTTGGACAACAAGCCACAGGTTCAGTCCCAGGAGTATCTCAACAGTAAGTCACAGGAGTGCAGACCTCGATAAACCAGGGATCCAACTCCTATGGATCTGGTGTACATTTCTCAGTAAAACCTGAATTCAACACCTTCATGGCGGCCGCTCAACCATTCAATCCGTCCACGCAATAGTTTACAGGGGAAAACCCATACATATTTCACCCGACAGGGCAATATGCATTCCAGCAATTTGAATTGCAGCCAAACTTACAACAATATCAACCGTACATCTCGCTGGCGGCATGCACAACCAAATGTACGTGAGCCCCTGCCAGACGCAAAAACATATGGCCTATGGCGGTATGTCGTACTCGTACATGGATAACCCCATGCGAAGTTCAAGCTCCAATTTCAGCCATGACCTGCTCCAATACGAGATTCCGCACACTGCGATGATACCGAACATGCCAAAATACGATGGTACTACTGACCCGGATGACAACATCGACAACTACGAGTGGACGATGACATCTCTTAAGATGGATCGTCGCTTCACCTGCACCTATTTCCCATGCACCCTCACAGGAAACGCAGGAAAGTGGTTCAAGTCTCTGAGGCCAGACAATATCTCGTATTTTGAGCAGTTGAAATACCTTTTCCTCAACAACTTCATGCAGTTGAGGAAAGGAAAACGGGACGCCAAATCTATGATGGCGTGTAAGCAAAAAGAAGGAGAATCGATTCGTGACTATTACGATCGATTCACACTAGCTACCTTGAATGTCCCAGGACATGAAGAGTTCCTGGTGACGGGTGCCTTCGCCCAAGGTCTGCTTCCTGGACCCCTATCTAAGAAGATGCAGGGGACAGTCCCCAGATCCAGGGACGAGCTCAAGTTTCGTGTGGAAAAATACCTGAGACAAATCGAAGGGGAAGAGCGAAAGGAGGCCAATCTCAAAGTTGTAGCCAACGCATACATCAAACAGGTGGATGCGGCGTCCCGACCGAGCTCAACCAAGTAAGAGAAGCAAGACGGCAACCAACAGAAGCACAATCGCCACTCCAGACACATGTCGAGGAGGTACATGCCATTCAACAAAGATGATGATAGGAATGGTCATGCAGATGTCCATGCAATCAACAAAACTCCATCAAAGGAGAGCAAGGAAAAGACCAAGTTCTATGAATATCACAAGAGCAAAACTCATGATACCACCGAATGCACGGTATTGAAAAGGGAGATAAACGAGAAACAACTAGTTGGAAACATAGTTGACATAGCAAAAGAGCTCAGAGCAAAATTTGATGAGGACAAGCATCAGCCTAGAAATCAAAAGGATGGGGGAAAGGACCATGAAAGGAGGCCAGGGATACTTACCATCACCGGGACCCGCCCATGCAGCAATCGCCAGAGCCAACACGTAAGCGCAAAGGTATACCATCAAAACATGCTTAACATAGGCTTTTCAATGAGTGACCCCAAGCCAGAACATTGGGATCCGAGTGACCCATTGCACATCATCGGTTTCATTAGCCAAAACCATGTTAAGCATGTATACATTGATAACGAAAGTAGGTTTAATGTCATCTATGAGCATTGCCTTCGACGGTTACCAATCGAATGGAAAAAACACCTCTAGCCACCACATCAGGGCGCGCTAGTTGGGTTCACCGGTCATGGCATCTAGCCAACAGGAACAATCATGCGCCCGTTTACATTATTCAGTCATGATGGGACAAAACAGATAACAAGGGTACTTGAATTCTCGGTTGTTGACTGTCCAGCTGAGCATAATATTCTACTGGGTTGGCCTGCACTCTTTCAGCTACAAGCGATCCCTTCCATTCTCCACGGTATTCTGAAGTTTAGCGTAAGTGGCAGGTCGGTGATGGTCGTAGCAACCAGACCACATAATGAGCTCAATATCCAACAAGAGATAAAGCAAGAAACCAAATCGTGTTGAACTAAAAATTGCCAGAAGGGGGAGAGTCCACAACGGAGGTCAGCAACTACGCAAATGCTCTTCCATGAGTCTAGGAAAGGGCAAATGTCATTTTAACACAACGAACTTGTGACGTTTGTTTTAAAAGGTCACTTAATTATTTTTTTTGCACATTAAGGTAACGAAGTCTGAATTTACCGTTTTAAAAGGTCCTTATTTAACTTGATACTTGATAGTTCGGTCAAATGTGATGATGTATGTTTAATAAATGTGATTAATACTTAAGGGGTGGCAAAATTATTCTTTCAAGAATTTTGTCGAACACCTTCTATACATTGCTTATCTCCTTTTTTTCTAACATGTTTAGTAAATTTCCAAAAATTAATGCATGTGCATCCATCCTCTCTTCATAATTCAGAAAATAAAGGAAAACGAGATTGAGGAGATCATATGAGTGATGTTGTAGATGTTTTTGATTGTTACCAGATGTCTTCAACAGGGTACAAGATATCAGATCCTTATCTGCTTGTACGGTTCTCTGTAAACGTTTGTTTCAGACTTCATTATGCTGTTTTGGAAGATTCATTATGAAACACAAAGTAAAGACGCATACAAACATTTGCAAAATAAAGACAAAGTATGATTTCAAAATAAAGACGCATACAAACAAATCAAAAGCTTTTTTGGAAGATTCATTATGAATTCGATTCAATCTCTTTTACATCATATGTTCTCGAGGAAATTTAAGGCATATTACCACTGTAATCCGATGATAAAGACACCACATGTACATTGCCTAATGACTAGCAATCACAGCCGCAATGGTGGCAACCACAAACGAGAAATCAATCTGTATTGACGGAACATAGAAATGCCCTATATCGGCAAACATCCGCTAAATCGACTAGGCCTTGATGAAATTCTTTTTGAAGAACAGGTAAATGTAAATGGGGTTAATCGCCTTCACTGATACATAACATTTGATTAGGTTGTATAATCCAATCGATCCAAGATTAAAGAATCACAAATGAGACATGATATGATGTGGGTTTTATTTTTGTTTTTTAGTGAAATAAAGTTGGAAAATGGTAATTACAAGTTAAGGTACCTTTTTAGCAGGTAAATTCGGAGTTTGTTCCCTTAATGTGCAAAAAAAATAATTAAGTGACATTTTAAAACAAACGTGACAAGTTCGTTGGGTTAATATGACATTTGCCCTCTAGGAAAAGGCAAAGAAACGTGTTCAGATGACTCACAACATCTCTTCCACGGAAAGAAACAAGCGCTGACCAAAAGATGGTCCAGCCAGAGCACGAAGCGAAAATCACAAATCAAGGGAATGCTTACCCGCGGGCAAGGGCACTAGTCTGGCCCATAATCGATGGCCAAGCCATGCCCAGACAAAGAGCGATTCGGGACTCGAACCGGATCTTTGCCAGTGTCAAAGATGAACCAAACCCCCTTGGGATGAAGGAGCTAAGCGTCAGGAACAACAAAGATAGGGGCGGAGTGTCACTCAATCTAACATGCAAGCTTTCCTATAGAAGAAAACAAACCAGGTAGCTAAACCTCAAAGTATAGTCAAGAACATTGACCAACATTTCGCGACTTAACATAAAAATACCGATTAAACATATAAGTTAGTAAAATATAAGTCAATAGTGGAAGGTTATACGACGTCTGAAACGCACATTAACCGATCAACGCGAACCCTAGAACAAGGGAGTGTGTATAAAAGAACTACAGTGGAAATGTCGAACAACCCTAGCCTAGAGATATTACAAGTCAATTCAAAACATATAAAAGGAAAAGAGCATTTCCATACCAAGTACGAAGCAAAATACACAGTTCTTGGTCATTAACAACCAGTACCTTT